GTGTGTGTGTGTGTGTGTGTGTGTGTGTGTGTGTGTGTGTGTGTGTGCCAAGAAACCCAGCCTGGCACTCAGTGAAGCAGTTTCCAACTTAAGTAAGAAGCAGAGGCATTGACCTCCCATATGAACTTGGCAATCTTTATAGTAACTGCCGTCTCTCTTTGCTCCTAAGTGCTCTCTGTCTGGGTCCTCAGCCACTCCTATTTCTATAATATCCTCTGTTTTTCGGTGGCCCTCTAGCTGGGTGGCAAATAAGGGAGATGTGCTTTCTGCCAAAGGTAGAAAGATTTCTGTTGGTATAGCTGCTGTTTCTATCTAAACTCCAGTCCTCTGCGTCCAGCAGCTGACACATAATGCGCATGAGTAGCCAGTCACCTGTCTGGAAAAGGTTTATCGAAATGCAGGGGTGTTCATTAGCCTTGTTACACCAGTGGCCTTTTAAAGGAAGAAAGGCGGAGAGTTGATCCCTATCTCTTTCACCATGAAGACACAGTGAGAAGGTAACCACCTGAAAAGGCCAAAGAGAGCGCTCACCAGGGAACCAAATAGACCAGACACCCAGCTCAGGCCTCCCAACCACCAGACTGAAATTTTCTTATTTAATCCAGTCAGTCTTTGGGAGATTACATCCTAGTCTCAGAACCTCTAACCTCCCCATGGGTGAAACAATTACTTTACCTTCTTTATGTTGCTAGTATTTAGTAAGACTACTATACAAAACATACTGAAGTGCCTGGCTACATTCTGTTATGGTTGACCAGTGTGGAAAGTCGGAGACTTGAGATTGGCAAACAAACACTAGAGATTTTGCTGTCTGGTCCATGATTCAAAAAGTTTGCTAATCCCAGCTCGAATTGTTGGATAAAATTTACCAGAATACTTTTCTACAAGAATTTTTTTTTTTTAATAGAAGAGCTTAAGGCTTAAGGTTCTGTTAAAGGGGACCTTCTAGTACAGCCACTGAAAACCACACACTACAGCATCTCCACTGTAATGTACAATTTATACACTGGCCAGAGCTGCACTCTGCTATGGCTGAGAACATGGGCTCAGACTCTGAACCCCTACTTACTAGAATCATAGTCTTATTAAATGGTCACTATGAGATCCATAGCTCACCACGAACATAGTCTTCGTTACAGAAGTGAATGAGAACTGTTCGGCACAATCATTCTTACAATAACAGAAAAACAACCTTTTTAGATGGGGCAGCCTTCAAACTGTGGGTCGTGTGTCTACGGAAAGGCCTGGCAGCTGTTGTAAAAAGTTTGTAGATCCAAAGAATGGTTTGAACCCATACTCTGTCCCACACAAATTATTTGGCAGGTGTAAATGACACTTTTAGAACCTTCATCTTCTTACAGTTGAAGTGGATATTCTGCCCCTTTTTTGTGGGATGCTGGCATTAACAATATTATCACATATAAAATACATTACGCCCACACATATAAAATAGGCTGTTTAGATGGTAGTTTGTACCACTCATCACTGAAAGAAACTCTTTTACAGTTTTCTTTCACATTTTGTTTGGCTGAGAATGAAGTGGCGGAGACTGGCAACACATCCTGTTCTCACAATTTGCCAAGTTACTAAATAATCCATTAGGAACAGAGAAATGGGATTATGAAAGCAAATTAAAAAAAGCAATACAAGCCATAACAAACTGGGAAGGGGAAAAGCCACTTGCTGTAACTTAGCAAGGTACAGTACCAGCACCTGTACACAAAAGCATACAGTCCCAGATCCCGATTTTAAAAGTAAAAACAAATAAGAGTTCTTGGTGTGTAGCTCAATTTTTTTAAATAAATTGTGAGTGTGTATGTGCGTGCATGTGTGTGTGAGTGTGTGTGTGTGTGTGGTCTCTGCACAAATGCATGCACGGGAGTGTGCAAGAGAAAAAGAGGAAGCAGAGCTTATGATTAACTTACTTTGAAGAAATATATATTCTATTTGTGATCTGTTTGAATTATTTCTTCTTGAGGCTAGGCCTTGCAACCATATCGGTTAGTGCGCTGGCTAGTTTTACTTCAACTTGACACAAGCTGTTATCTGAAATAAGGGAACCCCAAATGAAAAAAAAATACCTCTATAAGCTCCAGCTGTAGAGCATTTTCCTCATTAATAATTTATGGGGGAGGGCCCAGCCCATTGTGCATGGTGCCATCCCCGGGCTGGTGGTCCTGAGTTCCGTAAGAAAACAAGCTAAGGAGCAAGCCAGTAAGCAACATTCTTCTATTACCTCCATGTCATCTCCTGCCTCCAGGCCCCTGCCCTGCTTGAGTTCCTGTCCTGACTTCTTTCAGTTATGGACTTTGAGGTGGAATTGGGAGCTAAATAAACTCTCCCCTCCTCAACTCACTTTTGATCATGATGTTTCATCAAAGCAATAGTAACCTTAACTAGGACGATTAGTTATTTAATATTAGTCCGCTGGCCCTGATTTCTTAACATGTTCAGAGGAACGTTATATGTCACAAAGTGTAAATATCAAGTGATATCTGAGGGAAACAGCACATTTTGAGGAGTACAGTGACGGTGTATATTCTGTAAAATGTAATGATGATAAATAAGGGCTTAGAAACTTTTAGAACAGAGAAAAAAAATTCCAAGTCTGATTCCTTTTTGAGTTAGTACGAATATAAGAACTTCAAGTAGCTGTTTGTAGGTGGGGACCTTACAGCAGAAAGCAGAGTATGAACCCAAGAAATACGGGTTCCCTAACAGCAGGTAAGAATATTTTATATTTGGTTCATATTTGGACCCCACTCCCTCATCCGTCACTGGCTAATGTCTGATTGCTGGTATTTCACACTGTGTGCTCGTAAAGCTTCCAGAGCTCAGGGGGTGTGTGGTTCATCTCTGTTCTCTAGAGCTGTTAACTTGTCCCCAGGTTCTGGATATTCAGTGACAATTTGTTAACACATGAACTGAAACATTGCTCTAATTCAGATCAAATGTTTTGAAACTCAGTAGGATTCTCATTCCGGCCAGCCTATCCTTCTCTTGAACCCCGAGCAAGAAGCACATTGATTTAATTCTGCTTGTTTCTGGATTGTGGATATTAATTTCTCTCTTGACTGGCTTGTTTGCCTTCATGTTAACTACAAGAAAGGTTTTATTTAAGAGGCCGTAGAAAGGAAGGATCGTTATACCAAAACACTTCACTATAGACAGGCAATCATTTCATGTGACGTTCCTTAAGTGCAGTTATCCAAATGTGTAATTCATTCTTGGCCAGAAAAGAGTCTTAGCCAATGCCCAATGACCCATAAATCAGAGATAAGAGGTTTCTTTATGCAAATTAACTTTATGTCACACTCATCAATAAAGAAACAAATGGTAATGAGGATCAAGTTTATAGCAGAACCAGAATAAAGGTATCCTGTATCTATGTCCAGGATATGTCAGTGTGGCTAATTCATTCTTCTGATGGCATTCTTTGAAAGAATGAATGAAAAGGAAGCTTTGTGGATTGATTATGATTATGGGAAGAAGGGTTGAAAGAACAATGGGAATAGAAAATAGGTAGCCAGCTTGATTGACCTTCCCAACTTTAAAGACATGCATACCATAAAAAAAATGCTGATGTCCATTTTAGAGCAGTGTCACAAACTCAGTGAGCTAACCGTATGTGATGACTATCTTTGGTTGACAACTTGACTATATCTGGAATTAACTAAAATCCAAAGGGCTGAATGATTTTTCTTGATTGAATTTTTCTAAGTGGGATAATCTACCCCAAATCTGGATTTTTTTGAAGTGGGAAGATCTACCTTAATCTGGGCCACACCTTCTGGTGGCAGCCTATAGAAAGGACATGGAAGAAGGAAACTCTGACTCTTTGACTGCTTAATCATATGGTTTTTTTTTTCTCTCTCTCATAAGTTTATTCCTTCACTGGCATGAGAGCCTATTTCTTTGTAGTCCTGACACATAATGACGACCACCTGAGACATCCAGCCTCAGGGACTAAACAACTACTGAATTCTTGGTCCTGGGGTATTCTGAACCCTGACTAATAATATACCATGCCATAGCAGTTTCCAGTTCCATTTGCTTCTCCTCAAGTCTGTTTTTAATTTTGCATCTTAAATAATAAATATTCAAATATTTACTTAGATAATCAGAGCTGTCTTCTCCCTTTGGAAGTAAAAGATAAGAATAAAAGGAAAGAAAATTATATCACTTTATGCAGATGGAAATGTACCACTTCAAAATAAAGTACTTCTCATTGCTGGCTGATAGAATAGAACTTGCTAGCCCACCTGAATACTCATAAGGGAAAGAAGATGCAACATACCCGCTTCCTTAGATTGCAAGTGAGAGTGAGATTCCTTGAAAATGAGTTTGCAAATGCTGTATAGAAGTCAAGGACCTTGAGCAGGGCTTCTCTCTTGATGATGTGCAGATCACAGTAAGTCAGGGCCCGGACATTGGCACACGCATGAGCAAGGGTGGTTTCCTTCCAGAAGATGTCTCCGAACACATCACCTTTCCCTAGAGAGCAGGAAAAGACAACAGTTTCCGCCATGCCCACTAGTGTTCTTCAGGTTAATAGATTGTCCTGAGCTATAGAATCCAAACTCCTCTGTATGTACAGAACATGGCACAGCACATTTTCATCATTTCAGTTCCTGATGGAAACCTGATATTGGAAAAATAAATGCCATTTATTGGAATAGCTACTACCCTCATTTTAACACATACTTTCAGTAACCTTTGCAACATTAATTTTCCCATTCTGATAAGAAAGAGCAAAAATAACTTCTTTTTTCTCATACTTTCTAGAAAAAAAATTGAAAACAAAACAAGATGCAATATACAAGAATCTGTTATTATAGCCTTTATAAATCTGCCACACTTGCAATTTCTACCACATAATGTAACACAATATACATTAAACTGGATTATTCAGTAACTAAGGATTGCACTCGAAGCACCCTAAACTGTCATGTCTCTGTCTTCAAAGCATGCCCTTCTCTCTCCACAAGGTTAAACCTGGCAGGGTCTCAGCTCTAGCTCCAAGGTACCCCAACCATAATTCCTGAGCTTGGGAAACTGAACTGTGGAGCTGGAGAAGGATACACATTTGCAATCCTACAGAATCAGAGTCAAATGAGGATGCACTGAACTATGGGAAATGTAGAAAGATACCCACTTGCAATCCCACAGAATCCGAGGCAGATGCAGTAGTCAAATATGGATGCATATTTATTACCTATTCATGTCCAAAGCACCATTCCTTGAGGCCCGAGCACATTCACATTTCCAGATTAGAAGTGCCTAGTTTTACAAATGGCTTGAGGAAATGTCAAATGTCCATAACCCTCAAAGGTCCTTCTGCTTAGGAAGGTTCCCTATGAGCCCTCTGGCTTCTAAAGTTCAGCCATCTGCTCTCTTTGTCTGCTTCTGCCAATATGTGTTAAAGTGGAAAAGACAGGAGTAATGTATTCCTGTGGGATAAGCTTTCCTGGAGGTGTTCCATAGATGATTTGTTCTTTCAGCATTCTAATCAAAGGAAACAAATACCTATTTACATCGTGCAGATTAAATCAGAAGAGGAGGAAAGAAGACGTGGTCTATAAAACCCCCAAGGATAATATACATCAGTAGAAAGGAAGGTGGGAATAACCAAAGAAATGAGAGAAAGAAACAGGCATAGAAATGGAAGCTGGTTCAGTACATCCCAGATTCCCAGATTCTTTGCAGCTGGGAAACTCTTAGAATGTTGTAGCAGAGGGGCTAACCCTAACAAACACTTTAAAGTAGATGAAGAAGGCATACAAGTTATCAACAAGGTGTTCAGGTACCCATGTGGGTCACATGATCAGCATAAAATAACCATAATAGGTACTTAATTCATTTTCAAAAATCCACTTGATTTTCAACACAATAAAAAAAATCCTTGCAGTTGATATCACTGTTTAATGACTCAATTGTTTGGTAGCTACGTTGGCCAAGGAAATGACATTAGGAACCAAGTAGCAAAGTGGTCAAGATACACAGTATTATGATAACCTGGGGAGATGGAAATGTACATCCTAATACCACATCCTATTATAGAGATGAAATCTTTATGTGACATTCTCCTTAAGCTAGCATCTCCAATTCAGCCTAACAGCATAATCAGAAGCGCTAAATTTACCTGTGAAAATGCTCGCAGAACCAATATTTATAATACTCCAATGAAGTGTGTAAGATAAAGGTCAAGGGATAAATTATGAAACACTAGATAGCCCCTTACTAACACAGACTGTATGAACTGACATATGGAAATACTCACATTACATAAAATTAAAAAATCAGAATATCAACGGATACACTCAGTACAATTACATTTTATGTGCCACACATTCCTACCCTATCACCCATGAATGTAAATAAAGCTTAAAAGCAAATGTACTAATATGGTCAATGGTTGTTTTTTTTTTTAATGGACATGCATTTTTTTTACAAAGATAAGATATTAATAACAGTTCCAACAGCACAGTCTCTGGGGCTAAAAACTTAAGTTTTTAAGAGGACTCTTTTGCTCTACTTCCAGATTTTTTTTTATCTCTGTATGCTAACTTATTCTTATTCTAGACTCTTACTCTTACTTAAAAGATGGGAAAAGGATTATATTTCTTTCAAATTCATTTCTATGACACTTTCTCAAATTACCAATTATAATATCATCTCCAACTGTGATCAAATATCTGATTTTCAGGCATGAGACACTGTGGTACCAGCTAATGCATTTGACTCAATTTTTTTCAGTTCTGGGGATTTATAAAAATAGATTGGGACCATCACAGGTAACACACAGGGTGGTGTTATCCATCAGAGCCTGACAATTTTTTTAAAAAGTGCCATGCATGCAAAGCCAAAAGGAATCACAAAAATGTGCATAACATACCAATGCATATGAATAAGTACTTAAATCAGTTCTTTGAAATAACATACAAAATATTTATCTTATAATACTAGATCAAAAACTGATTAAATAACTGGATGGATGAATCTAGAAATTCATTCCATTTAAATTTCCCAAATGTATAGAGTATGAATTTTTTTAAAGTATTCCCTTTATATGATAAGTCTGGGTTTCTTTAATGTCTGTTGTGATGTTCCCCTGTTCGTTTCTGATTGATGTTTTGGGTCATCTATTTCTTTACTTTGCTCAGTAGGGCCAAGGACCTGCTTTCCTAGGACCAGAAGGTATCAGATGAGCCTCCAAGAGAAGGTAGTAAACAATTATGCTGCCCACCTATGATGCCTATAAACTACAACAGGGACTATCATATCACAATAATAACGCAAAGGGTGCAATAGCGGCACCCATATCTTGGTAGCAACCAACAGCTCTGTGATTGGACTCGTCGCCTCTTAAACAAGAGGTACTGGTACTAAAAACCTGGCCAACTACATAGAGCAAGTAAACTCATGGATTTTTAATAGAACTCACTTTACTGAATCATCACAATCCCTAACTGCTTCTGACATCAATAATCAAGCATACAGAATAAGACTAAAGCACCATGACTAAAAATATTTTATCAAGAAATATATGTTTTTTTAAAAAAAAAAGTTCTCATAATAGAGTCAAAGTGCATTGTGTAATTGTGCTATGATATATAGTCCATTACACTATTTTTAACTTATCAATCAAAAACAAATTTAGATAAAAGATAAAAAGAACAAATTAATAAGAGAAAACGCATTACAATAATAAAAATAAAAGTTTAAGTAATAGGCTATTACTTTTTTTCTTTCTGTCATTTCCTAACATTCTGTATAATGAATCTACATAACCTTTATTAAAATAGCAAAAAATAGCAAACTAATTTACACACATATATACTGATAACACATTAAAAATTTAGAGCATGTACAAATATCAAAATATCAGAGACCTACACCAAAATTAACAAATGTGGATTATTCTAATTCTATCATTAGACTAGCTAATAAATATTTACTATTTTTTAGTAGAGACTCAGGTATTTAGAGATACTCAATAAACGAGTAGAATTTCCTCTTACAAAGCAGATGGTTGTTAAGTACATAGGCATTCAAATGTTAACTAGGCATTTTATTTACCTAATTGAAAGTTTAATATCTTAACCTATTTCTACTTTAAATTTTACAAATTGATCTTTTTTCTCCCAAAAGCTAAGGATCAAACTCAGGGCCTCAGAGCTCTCCCATTATACTTCATGGTCACTCCAAAATCACTTATCATTTTGGAACCATGGGGGAAAATATCTACAATACAGAAAGAACAATAAAAAAAACCAGAATATTAACTCCTGTCAAACTTTGTCTCCTACTTTCCCTTCAAAAACATTAGAGAAATATAACAAAACTAGCCAACATGGATAATTCTACTTCACACATCAAAGTTCTCACAACCCAATGCTAACCATTTCATGGCATAAAATTGCCGAGTAAATGTGATATATGAGCTGGACATTAGCTTGATCATTCACTTCAAATTATACTTGCTCCGTCCAAGTAAGTCATCTAACATATTGCTTCAATTCACAGCAATCTTTTATTACAGTTCTGGGAAGGTGGTCATCATGCAAGTCAATGACTTATTTGATGTCATTCTTCAAAGCACATTACAAACTTTATATATTCTGAAGAAAATTTAAAAAAATGTGGACATGGAAAACCTAGTAAACACACACTCTTCCTTCATGGCAAAGATTTTTACACACTTTCAGACAAAGAAACTCTTATTCATATTCATAACTATAGAATTTCTGATGCGAGTTTTTAGGTCAATTCCTGCTGGGTGCAAGTCATCCCTGCTGTAAACATTTTGGCTCTTAAGAAACTAAACCCCCTTAAAGCCCTAAAATAGGAAGGAACCTCACACTTCTTAACAGCAAAGCTGTTGTTTGGCCTATTTATATTTTCTCAGTTCTTTGCATCAAGCCCTATGAAGTACTGCACTGCTGAACCACAGGAAACTGGATTGGAAAATAGAAATTAATGCTTAATATTCACATTGTAAGAAACTGTAAAATGTTTCTTATAAAACAAAGCTAGATTTACAACACGATTAAAGGAGTAATGCGGCTATAATCAGCTTGGGGATTGTGATGCCCTGTGGGGCTAGTTTAACAACCAGATTGGTTGTTGTTGTTATTATTATTATTATTATTATTATTATTATTATCATCATCATCATCATCATCATCATCATCATCATCATCATGTTAGACATATTATCTAGTAAGTTGATTGTATGGATTTAAAAATGCATAAAGGTCATCAAAGTTATTTGTTGATGAGTATAATTAAATTATCCAACAGGTCCTTTGAATTTTACTTGGGAAGTTTCTTAGCATGTTTAGAGCGTGACCATGGTTCTCTTCAATGAGTTTTCCCATCCGTATTTGATAAGAGTTTATTTCAGCTGATAGTTCCACATCACAATCCATCGCTGAGGGAAGTCAGGGAAAGGACTGAAACAGGACGAGGATCTAGAGGCAGAGGCTGACACA